TAATTCTTTCTTTCTTTTTTCTTTCTTTCTTTTCTTTCTTTCTTTCTTTCTTTCTTTCTTTCTTTTTCTTTCTTTCTTTCTTTCTTTCTTTCTTTCTTTCTTTCTTTCTTTCTTTCTTTCTTTCTTTCTTTCTTTCTTTCTTTCTTTCTTTCTTTCTTTCTTTCTTTCTTTCTTTTCTTTCTTTCTTTCTTTCTTTCTTTCTTTCTTTCTTTCTTTTTCTTTCTTTTTCTTTCTTTCTTTCTTTCTTTCTTTCTTTCTTTCTTTCTTTCTTTCTTTCTTTCTTTCTTTCTTTCTTAACATATAGGAAGCAACAGTTCACTGTGAAAGAAGGAGGGGGGGGGGGTGTCGTCGCATAGAGGCTAGACTGTCACTCTGGATCCGAAGGTAATTGGTTCGAAGCCGAACAGAGCTGCACTTATTTATATGTCTGTGTGTGTGTGTGTGTGTGTGTGTGTGTGTGTGTGTGTGTGTGTGTGTGTCTGTGTGTCCTGTACATTAAACGATGGTTTTCAAAAGTGCAACGCTCAGAAAATCCCATCTTCACTCTTTAAGTACCAAATAACTCGCTGCCCGTTTCTTGATCACTCCAGAGACATTCCAGAGATGGGATCCTTATTTTCGTCGGTTTAGTCCTTGGATAAAACTTACTTGAATAGCTCTGAGATTGAGCATACGCCCATAGTGCCAGTAAGAGCTGTCAGTCAGTTAGGGACCTCGGCCGCATACGGGTCTTGCAGAGTAAGTTTCAACTAACCTGTGAATGTCACTCCCTGCTCACATGAAACCTGCAGCAGATTACAGACACTCATGTGATCGCATTTCACGCCTGGTAGGTCACAATTTAAAAAAAAAAAAAAAACTCCGGCAGCCGAAACTAGTTAAAGAACCGGTTCAAAGTCCTGATACAACGGGCGGGATAACCCCACCTACGGATTTGCGTCAAACGCCAGCCAATCGGAGTCCACAAAATACATGATCCATGCGCGGCTAGAATGCGTCACCCAGGAGGGTTTTCGGTATAAATTCACTTGCTGAACTTTGTAACTTTACATAATATGAACGAACGTCGCAAGTGTCTAGAAAACTCTTCGTCGAGTACGACACCCAAACCGTATACTCTCAAATATACACAATGCCGGAAAGAGACGAGGTTGATAACAAGGATTTCGAGGATTGGTGAGTGATTTTACAGTTGCGTTTTTTTTTCATTACTCGTTAAATAATTTCGGTTTAACTTGTTTAATCAAAATGATTTTTAGACATTTAGATCTTAACATCAGTTTTTCGTATCGTCCATGTTGTGCTTGATGATCAAGTATGTCGTAAGAGCATTGGTTTGAATGGCTTCTTGATATAAGGGTGACTGACCAAAGGATCGAAGAAGAAGTGATCATGAACAACTAACAGAGTGCGTATGTGGACAAGTCGTTTGGTTCACGCTCTGAAAGTCGTGGGTTCGTATTTCTGTTCACGAGTGCACATTTTACGGAGATCCATGGGGATCGTCACCTAGGCTACAAAGTTCGCGCTTTGTGCGATGCTTTCGACAAGAGACTAATCGTTCTGCAGAGATAGCCCGAGCCACATGTGGATAAACCTGGTGCAATGAAGTCAGTTATCTTAACTTCAACTTTGACCTTATAACTATTTGGAAGAAAAAAATCTAACATTTTGATCGGCACCTGTAGAAGCAAATGGCAAAAATATAAATCTGAGACACAATAGACAACATAAACATAGACATCTGAATGAAAACGTCGAGATTTAAAACTGCCGCCCCTCCAAATAACGACAGCTCCTTCCTACTGTAGAGACACATTTATTTCAACTCATGTTCAAACTAGACACACGGTGCAATTGAATGAATGAATGAATCAAAAATTGTCTGCGGTGAAAGAGCTGATCAATGAAAATGTATGCCAATCTGACATCATTATTTGCAAAGACGGGTGTGTAGTGAGCGGTCATAAAAGTTGAAGCGGTTTTATTGTCTAGCCCTCTGAAGGCTGTGGGTTCGCTTCACGACTGCGTCGTTCGGTTCACGAAGACAGTGAATGCAAGCTCATGCTCCCGTAGGAGATCATACGCAGGAAGTTGTTAATAGAACTGAACACATTCACCCACTTAATATTTCTTAAAGCGTTGTGAATGGTTTTCGCACCCAGTTACAGCAAATTATCACCTCAGCTGGGAAGTTCGGATAATCCCTGTAACAGAGGCTTTCCCAAGTGCCCAAAATAAGAACCAACGAAAAGACATTAAATAATGCAGTTATCTGGGTTAGTCTGTCACCCTCAGAGTATATAATCACAGTAGAAAGGGAATACTGCGCAATACAAAAGAGACAATGCTAATGTGTTTTTCTACGCTCGGGTTTAATGCAAATTAAAAGTACAAATATACAACTTAAGCAAATCTTGTTTTGGAATAATCTGAACTAGAAATAGAAGCTTACAACGCGCACACCTGTTTTTGTAATGTATTACTACACGGTAGCTGGCTATAGTTATTACTGAGACCGGTTCGATTGCAGTTTCAGTTGCGCCTGTGTGTGTGGCGGGAGTGGTTCTGTGATGTTTCATTTTTAGTTTAATTGTCACGTTTGTTGTGTGTATATTGTGCACGAAACAAGAAGATGGTTTGGATTCCTCGATTGTTAAGGTAGGAATGGGCAGACTAATGATTACTTTAATTATGTGCTAGTTATGAAAAGTTGAAAATCATCTTTTAGAAATACCTGTTGCATCGCCTTCTGCTTTTTAGCAGGAAATCAAAACGCAGAGCTTGACTAGACAACTCGAAATTAAAAAACGCTTACAAATAAAAGCGAACGTTCTGACTGACTGACTTTCTACCCCACCAGGACATCACACAAGCGATAAACACCCGATGACACCAAGTGCCACCATGCGGGTGAGGATCACCGTGGAGAGGTCCCAGAAACCGCGTTCAGCCTTTAGGGCATATTTATGGTCAGGCTATATTGCGGCCCCTGACAAGAGCCAGAGTAGGGCTTCAAATAACGAAAAAATCATCCTCAAAAGGACAAGAAGTTAAAAAAGCGAACGTTCAGCTCAACTTCTTGGTTTAAAAAAAAAAGAAACATATGTACTTAGCCACCTCAAAACAAGAATGTGAGAATAAAGAAAAAAACCACAAAAATGTTCAGATTGTAATATGTGCATCAGATATCTGCTACTAACAGCGTACACTGAATATACACCGGTGATAACACAGACGGGCGAGCAGCATGTTTTCCCTTTCGGATCTGGAACCCTATTCAGGAAAAGAGGGTTTAAAAAAAGGGGGTGGGGGGAGGGGGTAAATCCACCCCACTTTAAAACACACATGTAATTTAAATAGTCAATAATTAGCATTTATTATCCCCGCGTGGGTTCCAATGTTTCATTGTGGGTGGAAATATGGAAATACAACCACTGACCGTTAATAAGCATGTCGTAAAAGGCGACTAATTTATAAAAGTATTCTTAAATCGGATGTGGAGTGGCGAGTACCATCGCATTTTAGACACACTGTGGTGATTAACGACACCTTTTTTTAAGCGTGAGAAAACATTAGGAGTTTGCAGGTATAGAAAATAGCCTATATTATCAATGAACACCTTATGTCGGGTATTATTCCATTGTATGGTATTCTTATGTAACCCTTTTGACTGTGTACGAGCTACACGTTGAAACCTGTTTATTGAATATCAATGTTAACTGTGCTGTATGCACGTAGCCTAAGGTCAAAGTCGTGAACTCACCGACCTGAACTTGAACTTTGACATTGCATTCACGAGTGGCGGGTGTGCAGCAATCGCCGTCTGTAGTTGGGGAAACTTCAGAGACTGTTATTAAAACGAATATAACTTCGCTGATGTCGACTGTCACTCATAGACTGCGAAGGAGAGACATACACTTCGGAACTTTTCACGTTTCCCGGCCCATCTACACACTTTCTCAGTCTGATCTAGGTCAGAAGGGTGCCACGTTGTACTGCTTTCCTCGAAAAGTCTTTCTTGTGACCTAGGCTCAGGTTGTTGGTAGGGGGGTTTGGGTTAGGGTCAGTTCTAGATATTCTGGGGTCTTGTGAGGTAGAGAACGCGACATCAGAGCTAATGTAATTGAAAGCAAGACAGCGTGACACCCCTCCGACGTAGAGGAGTCTGGGAAAGTATGAATGAAAGGTCAGCCAGTGTGTAGATGGGCCGAGAAACGTGAACAGAACCTACACTTCTTTTTCGTCGTCTTCTTCTTCTATGCCCCCCCCCCACCTTAAATTGGCGAGAGTAGGTAATGTGATGGTTTGCAGCTAGGCTGCTATATCTGCGCCTTGTTAGCATATGTAACCAACATTCGATTTAAATATCGCTTCATTTAAATAATTTTCCATATTTCAGAAAGATAGTTTTTAATGTGCAGGTTCGAATTCGTATTAAGATTATTAAAATTTCTTTTTTTTTTCTATCCGTAAAAATTCTAACCTGCGTAGTTGGTGGCCGCTAGCTGTGCGGGCTCAGAGACCCCACTACCCACACTGCCCTAAATCAGTGTCACTAGTCAGTAGAGGTGGCAGCTGCATAGAAGAATGCAGGCAATCCCTGGAATGCCTGGAGTACAGTGTGGTCGATTGTGATAACATATCTCTAACAGCGTCAATTTATTATAATTAGATAATTTAGTAGCGTATCCTTTACAGGACGTTGCAGAACCAACGGCATTTTTTGTGGCTGTTATGGTTTTTCTAGGCAAATCTTATGTTCAGTAGTTTGGTAATCTTAGTTTCAGCTTCAGTAGTTTGCCATTGCTTACTGAATGATCAGTTCTCGGCACCACTGTCAAAACTAATGCAAGACAAATCGTCTACTGCTGGGATTGAACCCAGCACCCTAGCATTACGAAGCGCATTTGCAACGCCTAAGCCACAGAGGCAGACATACTAATTAGGTAAGTTGACTAAATACTCTTGTAAACTGTATCTTTTTCTTTTTCTTACAGTCTCTCTGCTCGGCTCCTGAAGGCATCACCGCAGTACAAACGGTCAAATCTTCTGTACAAACAGGCATCTGCCCTCACGTCTGGGTCAGACTTCAGCCAGAAGCGAGACCTAAGTGTCATTTATGGCGACATCAACCAACTGCCAAACAAGGTCCGTCACTATGTGGAGGAGAATGCCCTATTATGCAAACCTGACAACATACACATCTGCGATGGGTCAGACAAGGAAAATCAAATTCTGTTGTATATTCTTCAAAAAGATGGCATCATTAAAAGGCTTCCGAAATATGAAAATTGGTAAGACTATTAGAAAATTAGAGCATGTGAGATGAACTGTGTTAGATGTGGTTCCTTTTGTTTCATTGCTTGCATACTACTACTACCACTACTAGTACTACTACTACCACCATTGCTTTTTCTGCTGCTCATGTTTGTGCCGCTCCTACACTACTACTGCTGCTGCTGCTGTTACTACTACTACCGCTACTGCTACTGCTACTATTACAATTACTTCTGCTGTTTTTGTGTGTCCTGTTACTGCTCTTGTTGTTATTGCTGGGACAGCTGTTGCTTTTCTGCTATATTACAGCCACTACAATCACAGAGTTCTTGCTGTATACAACCTTAGATAACAATGCATAAACTAACAAAAAAAACACATTTATTGATTCCTTTATAACCCAAGGTCAAGCCGAGGAAAATATAAACATCTAGACTGATAACTGTAAACTTGGGCCTATATATATGCTTCTCTGTTTACTATACATGGTGACCCAAAACATTTCTGCATGCAATTCGTGCATCCCTCAGTACTCCTGTCAGTGATTTCATTGAGTTCTCCCCCCCCCCTTCCTTTCTCTTTTCTCTTCCTTCACCTCATCCTTCTTCTTCTTCTTCTTCAGCATTCCAACCCTTGCAAATATCATCCATCTTCATTCATTTTCTAACCTTCTCTTTTGAGTTGGTGACTTCAAGTGTTTGTTTCCCCTTACAGTTGGTTAACCAGAACCGACCCAGCAGATGTGGCTCGAGTGGAACGGCTAACTTACATCAGTACAGATTCCAAGCGGGACACAGTGCCAACTCCCAAAAACGGGGCAGCAAGCCAACTTGGCAATTGGATGGACCCGGACAGTATGGACAAAGAATTGAACATGAGATTCCCTGACTGCATGAAAGGTAATTGTTTGGTCACTTGTTTGAAGATTGCAAATTTCTTTAGATGCCCAGTCCCATTGTGGGTTCTAAAGCCCCATTGTGGGGGATGGGGGTGGGGGGGGGGATGGGGGTGGGAGAGGGGGGGAAGAATAGACCCACCGCCCCCAATAAGTCATATCTGTAAATCAGTTGTGGATGCAAAACTCAGGTCCAAAAGTAGATAATTAACCAGAACTTTCAGATGAGTTAACAGCCGGTGAACCACAAAGAAGAAGAAGAATTTCAAAAAAGTACAAGGAAAAGGCTCAGTTTAAAACTGCAAATTCAACAGGAAGAAATCCCTTTGAACAGTACACCAGTTATTTTGGGCCACTTTAAGTATAACATTTATTTTCTTCTAGATTAGAGAGCTGCCGTGGTGTAGCTGCCAGATGTTTGTTTGCGGATCGGAAGGTTGTGGGTTCGGGGAAGACAGACTTTTTTCCAAAAAAGACCAATGCTGTCAGGTCGACCTAGCCTTAAGTGGGTACCAGGTGCAGTCCTGGGAAGTAAAGGCAGTCAGTGTGATGTTGACCACATCACCCACTAAGTGCCGATTGGTCTATCAAATATAAGTCTAGCCCTATATGCCCAAAATGCCTAAAGGCATGGAAAAGGTTCCATTTCTTCTAGATTGTACATGACACTTAAGTTGTTTCCCTGTTTCATGATGAATCAATAACCTGCTCACATTTGCATCCATTAGGCAGGACCATGTTTGTGATCCCCTTCAGCATGGGTCCAGTTGGATCTCCCTTGTCCAGGATCGGTGTCCAGCTGACAGACTCTGCCTATGTCGTGGCTAGCATGAGAATAATGACCCGTATGGGCAGCCAGGTCATCAAGGCCTTGGGCGACAACAGCTTTGTCAAATGTCTCCACTCAGTGGGCAGACCTCTGCCATTGACAGGTAATTGTTTTATTTTTCCACACATAAAGAATCCATTAAATTCATAGTCTTTTCATAAAACCTTCTTCAAATGCCTCTCATCCATCTTCTACCCTTCATTCCCCAGTGGAGCATAGGCCCTCAACCAGCTCACACTAAGCCGTCCTATCCTATGCTATCACATGCAGCTTACCCTGTGTCTCCATCTTTGTCACTTCCCTCTATAATTCCCTTCTTTATGTGTTTTTTGTTGGTCTGTCTTTATTTCTAATCGCCATGTGGGTTCCAGTGCACACACATTCTAGCTATATTGTTCTAAGGTTTTCTCAATGTGTGTCCTATCCAGTGCAAACACATTCTAGCTATATTGTTCTAAGGTTTTCTCAATGTGTGTCCTATCCAGTGCTCATTTTTCACCTCTTGATTCACTGGAATTTGTTTGGTTCTCTCCCAAAGCTCCCCATTAGTAATACCTATCATACTAAATGATTTTTTTAAATATCTCTGGTTTTCATCCATCATGGCTGACTTCATCCATATGCATGCTGATCTGCATTTGTAAGAAAGAAGATAATGTATTTAAAGTGCAAAGTGTGAGACTGTCACATATAATAAGGTCATGACCTACATGGTGAGGTGGCCAACTGACTTGTCACATTTGCTTCACAGAAAAAGAATAATAAACCAAAACAGAACTGGTAATTTCTCTGGTGTTATCACGCTGAGGCAGATACTGCAGATGGAATCCAAGCTCTTATGAACTTGTGAGGATGATTTGTTGATTAACTAACTAAATTCATAGCAAATGGGGAAATTGTCATTTTTGTTAGACTTAACTGATCACAGAGCAGTACTGGACTTAAATTATCACAGAGCAGTACTGGACTTAACTGATCACAGAGCAGTACTGGACTTAAATTATCACAGAGCAGTACTGGACTTAAATTATCACAGAGCAGTACTGGACTTAACTGATCACAGAGCAGTACTGGACTTAAATTATCACAGAGCAGTACTGGACTTAACTGATCACAGAGCAGTACTGGACTTACTGATCACATGCAGTACTGGACTTAACTGATCACAGAGCAGTACTGGACTTAACTGATCACAGAGCAGTACTGGACTTAACTGATCACAGAGCAGTACTGGACTTAACTGATCACAGAGCAGTACTGGACTTAACTGATCACAGAGCAGTACTGGACTTTACTGATCACAGAGCAGTACTTTATAGAAACAAATGAAAAGTCTCTGAGGGGTGTATAACAGGCCCTGTTGTTTTGGTCTCATTACCCAGTATGCTACTGTGCCTTCCCTCATCTCTCCACAGCTTTATGCACGTTTTTCTTTTTATTCTTCCTGTCAGAGGTTTTCTGCCAGAAGGCCACATGCTTCTATGTAGTCTGTGATGCTGCACACGTCTGCTGCTGTCAGCTTGATTTCCTTTGGAATGCCAACTGACCAAACCTGGGATCTCTCAGCTGCATATAGAGAGCTTGTCTGTAGCAACACATGTTCAACATTCTGTGCTGTCTGTCCACATGGGCAAAGCTTTGAATCCCCAATCTTATTTTGTACATGCAGATGTTGATTACCTGCTTTAAAAAAACTTATCTGTGCTGCCTGTACCTACCACTTTTAGGGCAGGAGATCGGAAGGTTGTGAACCTGAGAGTTTGAGCCTGCATGGATAGAGCAGTCAGTATGGATTGTGCAGGGCAGGATTTTTATTTTCATAACTGACAAAAAATCCCTATCTCTTTATTAGTAAGGTTTAAACACAGATCTAACAAATGAAAGCCCAGTGCTGTAACCACTTGGCCAGCAGCTCATTATGCTATTATCTTATATGTGTAAGTTAGTAACCAGTCTCTTAATTATTCTTTTCCACAGCTCCACTTCACAACAACTGGCCGTGCTATCCCACAATGACATTGGTAGCTCACCTGCCTCAGAGAAATGAAATCTGCTCTTTTGGAAGTGGCTATGGAGGCAATTCTCTTCTAGGCAAGAAGTGCTTTGCTCTCCGCATTGGGTCGATCCTCGGACATCGTGAGGGCTGGTTAGCTGAACACATGCTGGTGAGTTTCTGAGCAAGTATTTTCTTCTTCTTCTTAGCTTTCAACGGCCGTACACTCCTGCAGAAAGTTCTGTGTTGTTCATCCACTTCTGGACTTTAGTCTGGCTCCAGAACTTTTTTGTATGCAAATCCATTCGATAGATTTGACTTATTTATATGCAGACTGTTGGTTCTTTGCTTATCAGTCAGATCTCAGGCAGATGGACTCCCACTTTGAAGGAAACACCCCTGAGGTTTGAGGTTTGAACAACGGATCAACATCATGGCGCACGGGTAGTAACCCATAAGTGCTCCATTCTTCTAACTCAAGTCTGAGTCCGAGGAAGCTCAGCACAGTGCATAAGCTCTGTAGCACCGGAGAGGATCCTTAAATACTTTGGGTAGATTTTTAACTTCAAAATTTGCCAGGGCAGCGTCGTTAGGCTACTCTTTTCGATTTCTAACTGCCAAGGGCATTTTACATGCACTACAATACACAAGGGTGTCCGATCTCACTACCCAGAGACCAGGGGGAATTACTAGAAGTCTTGAGTCCATAGGAAAAAATCCCAGCCCTTACCGGGGATTGAACCTGGAACCTATAGCACTCGAGGCGAACACCATGCCTTGAGACCATGCAGCCCCCTGATTAGTAGTTGTTTAAAACAGGCTTGTTAGGGGGCAGTGAATATATTCTTTTTCCCCCCTCACAGTCGGACCCTGGAAGCTACATGGGCAGAAAGTGGGATCAGATAGATTTTATGAAAATATTTCAACAGCACTGATAATACAAAAATGAAGGTTTATGAGTCTTGTGTCCTGAGCACATTACTGTACGGCTGCGAATCCTGGACTCTCTATGCTCCACAGGAAAAAAGACTGAATACCTTCCATATGCGCTGTCTGAGACGCATCCTTGGTATATTATGGCGAGACCTTGTCTCCAACGAATGTGTGCTCACAAGAGCAAAAATACCATCAATGTATTGTATTCTGAAGCAAAGACGTTTGCGCTGGTTGGGACATGTCTCCTGCATGGAGGATGGTCGTATTCCAAAAGATCTCCTATATGGTGAATAGGTAACTGGGAATAGACCTACAGGAAGGCCAAAGCTGCGCTATAAAGATGTATGCAAATGTGACCTAATAGATACCAACATAGGCACAGAGACATGGGAAAAATCAGCTGCAGATCGACTACTATGGAGACAGAAAGTGAAAGACGGACTGTCAACTTTTGAAAGAAACCGAACACAACGAGCTGTGGAGAGGAGGCACCGGAGAGTAAAACTGCCCCACAACGAGAGAGTATCTGCTTTTGTGTGTATCCTGTGTGGCAAAGACTGCCATTCCCGCATTGGACTTTACAGTCACAGCAGATGCTGTTCCTAAAGCCAGCGGCACATCTCCATAGTCCCCCGGGACTGACGAATGCCATTATATTTCAACAGCCTTATAGTTCATGGTGACTGCAGTCACCATGCTTTCCAAATTCAGAAAACAGCTCATTCTACAACCTCTCCCCATTCTTCACCCCTAAAAGTAAAGTAAAGATCCCTTTTCATGCCTTTAGTATCATTGGGCATATGGGAAGAGCACCCATATTTTTACAGATCAGTCGGCACTAGGTGGATAATGTGGTCAGACTTACGCCGGCCGTCTTTACTTTCCTAGTACATACATCCTGGTACCCATTTTAGGTTGGGTTGGTGTGCATAACATGATGAAAATCCATGCAGCAAGCAGTGGTTTTTGGATCGCGATACGTTGGAATCATGAGTCGGACCCGCAATGCCTAAGCCACGAACGTCGCCCATAAGTCAAATAATCAAAGCAGTAAAACGGACACTTCTTGTTGGGTCTAATTCCCTGTAATGCCACCTTTACGACTTATCTGTAGTGATTTGTTTACGAGACACATATTTAATACTACTGGCTGTTTTCATGCCTGCGCAAACATCAGGATATACAAACATTAACTCAAAATAGCATTTAACTCTTTCAGTACTAAGAAGTTATTATTTTAACTCCTTCTTTCCAAGGGGTTACAGATAAAACCAGTAAATACTAAGATCTGCGTAGGTTCAACAGAGATCCTTTAAGACAGAAGTGGGTAAAATAATAATTCAGATACAAAGGGTTAATATAATGACTGTGTGTGACAGAAGACAGTTCCTGCATTAAATCATCTTTGGAATGGAAAATGAACCTAGGATGCATTGTTTGGGACTGAAAGAGTTAAGGGTTTTTCTTTGAGCTAAATAGTTTTTTTTTTTAAAGCCAAGTTGATATCAAATTTTCCTGTAAGCCACAGTAATTGAGGTTAAAGAATCACAGCATGAGTCAACTGACATTTTTTAAGATCCTAGGGAATGTATTCCATACAGTTTTCACCCTGTTCATTTTTACTGATTGCTGCCTTCATAAATCTGTATATATAAAAAAAAAAAATTTAATTTTTAAAATGTATATAAATATATTTTAACAAATTTAATATTGATCTGAGTATTTTTAACAGGTTTTTGTGTGTTCCCGGGGTGAGCGGGGTTAAGGACAAGGCAAACTGGGAAGATAAAAAGGAAAATAATTTCAACTGATATTAGGTACAATTGAATTGTTCCAACATTTAATAATCCTCTGTGTACTATTCTTTCCTTCTTAAGATCCTTGGAATTGAGAATAAAGAAACAGGAGTCAAGCGGTACATTGCTGCTGCATTCCCAAGTGCTTGTGGGAAAACCAATCTGGCAATGCTGACACCAACTCTTTCCAAGTACAAGGTGACATGTGTTGGTGACGACATTTCTTGGATGAGATTTGATCAGCAAGGTCGTCTTCGAGCCATAAACCCTGAAGCTGGATTCTTTGGTGTGGCGCCAGGTTGGTTTCTAGCTTTGCAATAAAAATCTGGCTTTATATTATTATCTAGGACACACACTAAGAAAACCCGTGAACAAAATAACTAGAATGTATTTGCACTGGAACCAAGACAGATATAGAAATAAAGGCTGACCAAAAAACTTATGGAGAAGGGATCTAGAGAGTGAAGTTAAAAGGATGGAGAGGAGATAGGGTTATTGGCCTTCGGTAGCAAAGAATAGGATGACTTGGCGTGAGTTGGTTGTGAAAGCAAATGCTTCACTGGGGAATAAAAGACAGGAAAGGAACAATATCATTATCAGTCTTTCCCAGTGTTTGTTCTGTCCAGTGCAAGTATTTTTACCTCATCTTTAGATTTGCTAGACTTTGTTCAGTTCTCTCCCAAAGCTACACTTCTGTCTTAACATTTTATTTCATTTTGTTTTGCACATGCAGCAGTTAATAAATGTTTCTAGTTGACTAGAATAGAGCAGTGCTGATTAACTCTTAGAGGTTAATATTCTGTTTGACCAACTTATTCTTGAGAAATCAGTATAGTGGTTTTTCATATCATTATTATAGATACCCTTGCGGTAAAGCTGTGCAGGTGTCTTTATTGCATTTCTGTATAAAAAAACTTTAAAACAAATCCATGATATAGTTATTTAGTTAGTCAACAGATTATTCTCATCATACATCGAACTATTCAGTCCATAAGTGCTTGGATCACCTTCTCATTAACTCCTGCAGCATATAGCGGCTGATGAAATAGTTCTGTGTTGGATTCTTGTTCTTCTTTGGCTTTCTGCATAGTGCTCTTGTCTGGCCACAGCCCTTTCAACTTTCTGTTCTTGCAGTCAGGTCATGATTGTAGATTCATGGTCACATAGTTCTCGGAATGTCTTACTGCTCATAGAGCATTTAGTATATTAGCCTGGTCCATTCCTCATCCGTCTTTCACATAGCCTTGCCTGAATCCATGATATATACTCTAATAAAGGTTCCGCATGTTATCTCTTCATGCATCATAGTATATTTCCTGATGAGGTTTGTGGTCATCTCTATTTGCTTTGCTCCATTTGCTTTCCAGCAATTTGTATGCCTCCTGTTTTTAGAGTGAGTAATTGAGGCTTGACCATAACAGATTTTATATAATTATGTAAGTACTTAAGATGCTATTCTTGGATAGTTTAAAAAATAATTATTGATGAATGTCTCTTTGTTTGAATGTTTGTTTAAATTCTAGCCCATATTTATTCAGAAATCTGTCTTTTGCAGGGACTTCAAGGAAAACAAACCCAATTGCCATGGAGACCATTAAGTCGAACACCATTTTCACCAATGTTGCAGAAACCAGTGATGGTGGGGTATTCTGGGAAGGCCTAGAGAAGGAAATAGATGATAATGTTAGGATCACATCCTGGCTGGGCGATGAAAACTGGCGCAAAGATCAGACAGACAAGCCAGCTGCCCATCCAAACTCAAGGTCAGCAAATATAATTAAAATAATTATCCGGCTTCTTTTCTTTCTTTATTATTCTTTTTCTTCTCTCACCTTTTCTTGATATTTATGTTTTTTCTTACTGGTTAAGTTTGATTTTAGTATTGGCAATAATAATGGTTTAGCTTTGCCTGTGAGTACAATTGATTCCTGTTAATTGACAGGCTTGTATTCTAAAATTTAATATATTTTTTGTAGATGATGAGATGCGATTAATGCATTAGGATTGAGTGAAAGAGAGTGAACAAGGAAGAGGAAATTTGCACGTACACATGCGTATGCATACACTGTCATACTCACACACCCAAGCATCATCAAGATACAACATACATTCACAGTCAACATTGAGACGCAAATACACAGTCATTAAAACTTACACACACCCAACACAATCACATCGACATATACACATAAAAGACAATGGATAGAAAACATGAAAAGACTGAGCACTTGAGGTGTAGCATGATGTTTATTTCTGTTTGTCCACCACAGGTTCTGTACTCCGGCTGCCCAGTGTCCAATCATGGATCCAGCTTGGGAAGATCCTGAAGGAGTGCCCATTGATGCAATCATCTTTGGTGGCCGACGTCCAGTTGGTGTGCCCCTTGTGTATGAAGCATTAAACTGGCAGCATGGTGTGTTCATTGGGGCATCCATGAGATCAGAAGCAACAGCTGCTGCAGAACACACAGGTAATTTGAATTAATTAAAAACTTCTCACACTTACTGTTCCTTATCTTCTTTTTTTGTGTGTCTTTTATTCTACTGTTTATGCAGTAAAGCGTTGTAGTTTCCTGTCTATTGCTAACAATGTAATTGCCATATTGCATTTCTGTAGTCTCTGTTAACTCCCTCCAGCCAGATTTTTATTGTCTTGTCTTTTGACTTGTAGCCTACTGTTCTCATGTAGTTTCCTCTTCTGTTAGCTGATTTTGTTCCATATGGACCAGATAAGTAATCCATTTGATTTTTTGATGTTCTCTGAAATCATTTACTGATTCTTAGTTCTTTGTTGGTTAGTTTGTCTATTCTTGCCTTTCTCACCACATTTCTTATACATTTCACTTCACTTGTAATTTTGCATTTTTGTTTTTCTGTGACTGTGCATGTCCGGCACTGATATCATAAAGTTGGTACCAACCGCCCATTTATGAGTTGTTTACTGTTCCTAGCAACAGATGACAATAGCTAGCTTCCTTTTGCACTGACTCTGGGACTATACTGAAAAGTAATCTTTCACTGTTGGGAATCAAACCTTGAGACTGTGTTAATAGGCAGTTGCTTAACCATTGAAGTGACAGGGCCAGGTTTCACGCTGGCCTTGATGTGAGATAATTTCTTCATGATGTTGACTGTCCACCAAAGCAAATCTAATAAAAACTATTTTGTTTTGGGGCCAACTGTATTTTTGTACAGTTGTCGAACATGGACCCATGCTACAACAAATGGGAACAAAGATGTCATAGAAAAGCAGCTGAAGTAACACAAAAAGATACAGTTTGAAATGAATAAAACTATAAAGTAGGTGATGACTAAAACCAACCATACATACAGTTCATGAAACAACAACGGATGAGATTGTTTGATCTCTGATGAGAATGCCTTGGTCCCAACTGCCACAGAGATGAAATACAGTGAACACAGAGCAAGAGGAAGATCACACAGATATAGAATGACAGCATTGAGGGACACCCCCCAAAACTTTAATAAGGTAAACAGAGGAAGAACCAAAAAAAATGAACAAATGAACAAACTTAATTTTCAAAGGGTTAGAATTGGGCTTTTCTAACATACTGTCCTTCTGATCTCCCTCCTTACTTACATTATTTCATTCATACATCTATTAATGACAAATAGTAAACATCAAAAGCTGTAAGCACTGTAATGTGCTCGAATTACACCTATAGGTCTAACTACAGAACAGTTGTATGTATAGGGGCTGGTTGTATTTTTGCTGTGGAAGAGGAAGAAGTAGGTGTTGTCTGTCCATTGACTGTTCCCAACCTGACTGACTCTTTAAACATCACCATGCTTGTCATGCAGATGTGAAGTTTTAGTACTGGCCTTGCTTTCCCTTTTATTTCTGACCTTGGAGAGGGTAAGGATAGACCTGAAACACAGTCCTCACAAAGATGTTACTTCAGTACCTGCTGAAGACAACCTTATTTGAACGACGTGAAGGCCTTTTTTAAGTTTTCAAACAAATTCAGTGCAACAGATTCTAAAAGAAGGATTTCGTCTCTAGAGCATTCAAAACCAGCCAGTCAGTATGCAGCCATTACTGCCATACCACAGTATTCAAGTTAAAAAAAAAAAAAAAGTGCAATTACGTGTTTGGTCCATTTTTTTTAAAAACCTACTAATTCCACTTTGAGTAATCTACCCATGTGAATGATTTCAGAATAGTTTTAATTGTTTTTCTTCCGCAGCTAAACAGATTATGCACGACCCATTTGCCATGCGTCCGTTCTTTGGCTACAACTTTGGGGACTATCTTAAACACTGGTTGAGCTTTGGGAAACAAGAAAACTTGGTCCTGCCAAAGATCTTCCATGTCAACTGGTTCCGCAGAGGACCAAACAACAACTTCCTGTGGCCAGGATTTGGAGAAAACTGCAGAGTATTAGACTGGATTGTCCGCAGATGTGATGGCGAAGATATTGCAAAGAAAACTGCAGTTGGACTTCTGCCGAAATTTGATGCCTTGAACCTAGATGGCCTTAATGAGTCAGTTAATCTTGAGGAACTTTTCAGCCTGCCCCGAGACTTCTGGGAGAATGAGGTCAATGCCATCTATAAATACTTTGATGAACAAGTTAATGATGATCTTCCAAAGGAGGTCATGAAGGAGTTGAAAGATCTTGAGAAAAGAGTTAAGGAAGAGCTGTAGAGGTGTGGAGTCAGTAGCAATGTTAAGGCATGAAGAAATTGAAAAAGTAATCCTGGAAGAACTATAAACATGGAAATAGAGTTAATGACACCAATAACTGATAACGACTGAGTACTATTTACAGTATGGTTGCATGTTATACAAGATGTACTGTTTTACTGAGTCAAATTTAGAAAAGTATTTTACATTACTTGTTTGTGCAAAGTCATTTACCAGTCTCAGGAATGTGTTTGTATGTGAGTGTCATTGTTACTTGTAGATCATTTTTTAAAACTCACATTGTGTGTGTATTAAACTGTTTTTACTTTCTCACATATAAAGTCTTTCAGTTTATGGATTTTTATTTTGTTATGAACAGTTGATCCTTACTGCAAATTGTGTTTGTCAACAATACTGTCCTGCTAAATTGTTATCAATGATTAGTCTTATTTTGCCTGTGATATTTTTTATCTTTATTGTTTTAACAAGCGGTTTTGTTTTTGTTTTGTGTGTGTATGTGGGTGTAGCCCTTATTTTCTTACATTAAAAAGGGCATGCAACTGTTGAAAAGGGAAAGCTGAGTGATTGTTCTTGTTTAGTATATTATATGTAGTGACATTTTCTATTACATTCACAGTAATACACCAACATTAGTACACACATTTAAAGTTTACTTGAAAATTTGTTTTAGAAATAAATCTCAAAAAATTTTAAGTGTCCTATTAAAATAAATTTATAATGTAGTTTTATTCAATATTAAAATAAATGTTAATAGGAAATTGTATACACACATGCATGCACACACATATATACCTATTTAAAATACTCCTGGATTTCTGTGAAATTCCATCTTTCTCGGTTATGGTGGATTCTGGACCTGTCTAGTAATAATATCTGTTAATAAAGCGTATCTAATGGATCACAAGCAGAAAACAACTTCTTGAAATAAAGCATCATCACCATGTGCCATGCAAGATGGCATAGTCATCATTTCTCTTTATTCATCTTAGCCTTTGATAGAAGTGGCTGCATATTTGAAGCCAACAGGTTTACTCAGCTTTCAGATTTAATAATTGTGTCCTTCTATGCTAACCAGTCATCTATACATTTATAGTCTTGTTTATGATAAGCTTGTTTATCTGACTTTCATCGTCGAGACAAGAGTTAATTAAATGTAGCAGAGCATAAAATAATGCCATTTAAATATTTTTCTTAATCAAATTTATTACTAATTAAGATTTACAGTATGTTGTAATACTGATGATTCATTCCATTTGTGTTGCTGCAGCGAAACATTTAGCCTAAAATAAAATGATGCCTTATGGTATATTTGTACATACATCCTTCTACATTTTGTATGTGATTCTGAATTAATAGGAACATAAATTGTATGATATTCTAAACTTTTAGATTGGTGTATAGAGAATATGTTTATTGAAACATGGATTGGATGAAGTTAGCACTAATATATTCTGTTTGCAAAGTAAATATGTTTTAATTTTTCAAACAAATTGAGTGTATGTATATGTCAGTAGATAATTATGTTTATTTGATTAGTTACTGTGTGAATATTTTTTTGGAAATTAGATGCCTTATGAGTCTTGATAGCTAGTCTTGAAGTTAGATGTTAGGGATTCTTGTTAGCTAGATTTTTAATTTGATGTTTCTAAACTGCTGTATGTGATTCAAACAAGTATGTGAGAGAAACTAGAGAATGATTATAGAAGATCAGATTCTTATCATCTTTTCTGCTTGATTGTTGATTCATTTGTTTCTTGTTATGTATAAGTGTGTACATTTAATAATCTAGATTGTAGCCTGTATTTAGATTGTAGCCTGTATCTAGATTGAAGCCTCTGTTTAGACTACTGTTTTTGACTGTATCAATTGTCCTGCTACTGTATGTTTAATATATCTGAGTGTACCATTTATGATTAAGGAGTATGATTCTACTGTGTGCAATCATTCCACAGATAATTAAGCTTATAAAACAAAGACAAGTGTACCAGAATGCTGAGCTTCCATTCAGATGACCCAGATTCAAATCCTTGGTAAGGTGTCAGACATCTTTTCTTAGGACAAAATTACCCATCTAACCCACTCCAATAGCTATGCAGCCCTAAATCCTCAGACTCAGGGCCAAACTTTGTCTTCCCCAGTCTAACAAGTGGTAAATGCAGACAGAAGAGACAGACATTTGTACTATGATTCAAAATGGTCTATGATCTAGTGGGAGTGTTAGTGTTGAAATGTCTGATGGCTCCCTTATGCATTTACTTTGCTTGTGCCAGCTTCAAAATGTTGCTGGGACTGATATTTGTCCCCTTTATTTTTCAAGGACATTATTATTTAAGGACATTTTATGTGATTTTCACGGCACAAGAATAGAGCAGTTATGGG